TAAAATACATTGAGCTAATACTTTAATATGACTAAATGTCCTAAATTCATATCAGTGTTAACATCTTTTCTTATTAAACTTTCTCTAAAACTTATGATTTTTAAAAATAAAATCAGTGAATATACATTTTGTATTGCAGGCCAATTTACGTATGATAGCCTATGTCTAAATTATTAGTAACTATGGTTTCTTAATTTAGTATAGCTCTTATTTTTTTCTTCTACTGAGATTTTTAAAGTCATTTGTTACTACTTTTTCCTGTTACCTCACCAAAAAGAAAATAAGTCTGCTTTTCATTAATTATAGACATTATAGGACATGTGACTTAAAAAATATTTCACACTGTTTGACTTTTGATTATTTGGTGAGTTCATCATTATGTCATGAGTTCCATCATTTTTGGGTACAGATTTTTATGCCTTACTCATTTTTAATATTCATATCAAAATATATACTCATATAAAGTTTGAAGACCTCCATAGTAATTCTATAAAATGCTTTATTTAAAAAATTTAGCCCCTAACGTACTTGACATTTACTTAGAACAAAGCCTGACACTACTGGAAGAAAATGTGTTTAACCACAAAATATTTAACATTCCTTGGCTGTATTCCTTTGAAATGTTTTACAAACCATCTTGAAAATATGGTATGATGTTTTAGTGATACACAGACAATTATTTTGTCTAAGTAGCACGATGTCATTCAGAAATTCTGTTAACTATATATTGTGATATTTTGCATAGAAAGTAGAAAAACAGTTTTTCAACAAGTTTTGTTACCCTTGTCTATGGATGCACAGTATTTTGGCCTTCTACAAATGTAATTTTTATTGAGCGATCTTCCTCAAACTTGTTTTCTGAGCCTCTTAAAAGATAAAACAGTAGCTGTAGGATGGATCTCTGACAGCCTGTCAGTGCACTTTAGAGCTGAAGTACAGTGGACTAAAGGTTTATAAAACTGTGGTTTTTAATCTTTAAAAGTCAAAGCTTGGCCCAAACATTGTATGCACATATGAATAAATGGAAAAAAAATCAAAGCTCTGTGCTTGCTTCAGCAGCACAGATTCTAAAATTGGAACGATACAGAGAAGATTAGTGTGGCCCCTATGCAAGATGACATGGAAGTTCATGAAGCAGTCCATATTAAAAAAAAATAAAGTCAAAGCTTGGATTTTTCATTTCTAAATACATAAATTTGAAACCAGTGGAATATATGGCTCTAAGAATGTGACTATAATGTTTTTATCCATGTGCTCAGCACAGAAGTGATTAATGTGTACACTGGCATACTAAAAGTAATTAGCAGATTGGGATTCTTAGGTTCTTCTACTGGGTTTGTCACTAACTAGCTTTGTTTCTTTAGTGAAATCATTTCCCCTCTCTAAGCCTGTTTCTTGATCTTTAAAATGCCATAGTTGGAATGTAAGGTTCTTTCTTCTAGCTCTAACGTTTTGTATTGCTTTTATTTTGGCCACTTTTCTAAATCACCCTGGTGTAAGAGATCCATCTCTTGATGCTCCCTTTTTAAGAAATTCAACATTTTATATCATTTATTTACATACTAGCAACAGGAGGGTTTACTGTCCTATTTGAGTGCTAAAAGGAGACATTACTCATTTTCTTTCTAGATAGGATCATAATTTCTAAAGGCGTTTTTGACTTTCCAAGTTTGTTTTCCTAATTGCTTGTTTGTGTTGTTGGGCTCATTATTTTATTTTTGCTTTCTTTTAGTAGATGAAGGTGTGAGAAGGCCTTATCTTAGTGTTCATTATGTAATTTAGAAGACTTAGTTTGTGTGGACTTTAGGGTCCTATTTATTCTTTCATGCACCAATTCCAAGATCATTGTTTGTTTGTGGGTTTTTCCCTTCCCTCCCATATTGTTTTGCTTTCTCCCCTCTCCCTTCCCTCCCTTTCAGGAAAGTGGAGGAGTGGCTCCATTACCTCCGGCTCTGCTCAGGTTTTCTGCCACAAGAGTGGCACCACCTGTGCCTCTAATTCTTCTGATAGAGTTGTGACTGCTTTGGATGCTACACCTGCCCCAAGATGTAATATTGAGCATTGAGATTTCAGGGGCAGTACCTTGTTGCCTGGATGATTTTCCCAGAAACGTCTTGGAAAGCCTCAAGAAAGGAAACTTCAGAGCAAACAGAATCAACTAGGGATCATGACTATACATCCATCACATGCATGCCAGCACGGCTCCAGCCGAGGCCTCCAAAATGATGCTTTGCCAGCTTCAGCTGGTTCTCAAGTGATGATGTCCTTGAAGTCTCTGTGGCCCGTGACTCCAGAGTTAAGGTAGTGGAGTTTCCCTTTAAAGCATCTCACAGCAGGCTTTGTAGATGGGACACATCTCACCTTAGCATGCTTGCTGACTACTCAGGTTGAAGGTCAGCCACAGCCCTGAGGTCTTTTAGGTTCTAAAATGAGGTTATGTTATTGGCTAGGTTTATAGTATAGTAGTTTTTTTGACATTAGACTTGAGCCATCAGTCATAATTTATGCAAAATCATTCAACTTTATTAAAATTCTTAGTTTACCTGACTATAAAAATGTTTTTTCTTTGGTGAAAAAATGATAGAGGAGGGACTGGGGGCATGGCTCAAGTGATAGAGCACCTGCCTGGCAAGCATGAGACCCTTAGTTCAAACCCCAGTACCACCACAAAAAATTATAAAGGGTAACTAATTGGGAGAAAAGTGACCATTCTCCAAAGTTTGCAGTTTTCTGCTTCTAAAGTGATGATAATTGTTCTGTATATTATGGTCTTACTGAAGGTTGGTGATAAGTTGTAATTCTTCAGTATGTGGATCTGATTTCGTTTTCTATAATTTATTATATAATTTACTAGTTGATATCCAGTTATAATTTACTATCTTACATGCATCATATTTCCTTGTTCTTGATAGTCCAAAGTTTGAGAATGAATTAGGTGGGTTTACATATTTTGATTTCCCATTTAGTACACATATTCTTAGGAGTTGAGTTTGAAAGAAGAAAACTTACGTGGTTGCTCACAGTCATCAACCAGGTTTTTACAGCTAGTACGGAGTTTTAAGGCTTGAATGTATAAACACAAACTGAAATCAGATTGTTGAACTAACATTTAGAGTAACTAGATTCAGAATTTAGTCTTATTGGCTATTCTATTCAAATGACGATATAAGCTCTCCTTTTAATTTATGTTTTCCATTTCTAATCCAGTACCCAACATTTCATATCTTTTATACACATGCACATGTATTCATTCCAAAATTCACTACCCAAATTAACTTGAGAAAGTCTTTCCTTGTTCATGAGAAATGAGAATATTGTGTGTTTAAAGATTTTAGAGAATTTTCTCCATTCAATTTGAAGTACTTCCCTTTATTTTGAAACTGTTGTTTGATTGGGGGAGGAGGATGTGTTGGACATACTTTTTATTTTATAAAATGATGAAAGTAAATAGCATTTGGATTAAAAATTTTTTTCTTGACAAAATAAAAGGTTGCAACCCTTTATTAGTCTCCATTTTAAGGTGTTTAGTATATGCAATCCAAGACAGCAAAGCACTGATCTAGAAGTATAAGACCAAAGCTTTAGAACTCAAATTGAGTAATATTTAAATTGGGGTGATGTAATCTACATTTTATTGAAGTAAAAATTAGGGCAGAAACCCTTAGAAAAACAAACTCATCTGTGGCTTTCTTTTCCAATTGGTGATTTTCTGTTTTGTCTAAATATTTCTGATCCATCTGTTTGAAGGAGAAAGCACAAAAAGGCATATAACAAACATTTCTGGAAGCTATTGCCTAGTTTGCTTAAGTCTAGATGCCTTTGCTAGGCATTTTTTGAATATAAATAGCAGTGAACATTTTACCTGTCAAAGCTGAAAGTCTTAAAGTGCATTAGCCTCTCCTACCATTGAATGAATTCTTGATTGAAATGTGAGTCCGTGCTAAGAAATATAAAAGATGTGTTTCAAATCCAGAAATAACAAAGGTTCCATAATCTTACTATTAAATTTGGCTGAGATAGTCAGTCTTGATTGCTGAATTGATGTTTGTTTATTCCATAGAAGGTAACTCATGGCAAACGGTTAGGATCTTGCCATCTTCTTTTTGAACCTTTCTATAATGTATTCTTTTGTTCCTGTGATTTATGAATTTATGGCAAAAGGATTCCCATACTGGTCAACACAGAAGCTTCATGATTGCTTTTATTTTACATTTTCAAATAATTTTCTTTAGTGAAAACATATATTTTAGCATATGCTATTTGTAAAAGAAGTGTTTTCTCATGCTTTTAACAATCGATTTTTCTATTAACAAATTTTTCTTTGAGAGGATCATCTTGAGAAATTGAGAGTGAAGCTACTGCGTTACTTTTTTTTTTTGAAAGTTAAAACTCATTTATGGTAATTTGTGTTCTTTTACTGTGTGTAATTAATAGCATTCATGTCCCTTCTCTGCCCTAGCTTGGATATTGAGATTTATGGTTGCTTTCATACTAAATATTTGGTGCTACTTTCATCTGGTTAACAGATTTATGAAGTAAGGTAAACAAAGGTCCAAGAATATCCTCCTGTTTGAGGCAATGTTGAATAGTGTGTTGGTTTATTATATACTAATTTTTCAAGAATATGTTTTACTGTTGAATTAAACCTCTCCTATGGAGTTTCTGGATAAGTGGATCAACTGTAGTTGGCCTGTCTTACATTGTAGTTGTTGGATGATGGCAACAAAGCAAATATAGTCAATAGAATATATCCATGAGATTTTTCATTGGCTTGCAAAATTGTATAACATTGAGAAATAATCAGTACAAAGACCATTTTCTAAAGTGTTTGTTGGGACCTGAGGTTAAAACATGGTTTTACTAGTCTTTTGTTTATAATATAAAATCTATTGACATGTTTATTTCTATTTTGATACAGAGAATTATGTGTTTTGCTTTTAATTTGGTACAATTTACCCCCAAATATATAGTTTTTTTTTAAATTTTTTTTTACTCTCAAGAATTGCCAAGAAGATGCTTTTAGAAGAAATTAAAGCCAATCTTTCCTCTGATGATGAAGGATCTTCAGATGATGAACCAGAAGAAGAGAAAAAGAGAAATGGAAAACCAAATGAAGAAAACCCAGGATATGAGGGTGAGCTCCCTAAAGAGAAGTGTAGGGTGTCATGATGTGGTTCCTTGAGCAGTTCAGTCCTTGAAGAATATCTGACCAAAAGCTCTCTTAATACATGCATTTAATATTAAGGTTTTATTGTCATTACTCTTTTGAGTATCTTGTAGTAAATGTAGAATATATTCTAGTTTTGTCAGTTACTGCCAATAAACATGTTCTTGAAGGAAAAATATTTTATGTTTTAAAGTAATAAACACGTGACATTTAGTCAATATTTAATAATGGTAATATATCAAGTCTGATTGTGAGATTACCTACTATACCAAGGTATCATTGTACAGCTCCTATCTTTTCTGTAAATTATAGTAATTATCAATAGGCATTGAAGAAATAATATTTTAAAGAAAAATAGGCTGAAGAAGGATTTATTGATATATTTCCTTCATTTAGAAGCAAAAAATCAAGACAATTCCGAATCTGATTCAGATTCTGAAGAATCTAAGAAGCCAAGATACAGACATAGGCTTTTGCGGCACAAACTGGCTGTGAGTGATGGAGAATCTGGAGAAGAAAAAAAGACAAAGCTTAAAGAGCATAAAGAAGCTAAGGGTAGAAATAGAAGAAAAGGTAAGACATTTTAATTCAGAATATAAGGAATGTACTGGTTTATATACTATCTATGGTAATAAAATTTAAGTATATATGATCAAACAGTCGATTACCGATATTAAGAGAGCATCAGTACTTGGCAACACAAAGAGTTTTTTATTTTTCGTTTATTCATATGTGCATACAATGTTTGGGTCATTTCTCCCCTCCTGTCTCCCCCTCCCTCGCTTCCAGGTAGAAACTGTTCTGCCCTTATCTCTAATTTTATTGAAGAGAGAGTATAAACAATAATAAGGACAAAGTGTTTTTGCTGGTTGAGATAAGGATAACTATACAGGGAGATTCCTAGCATTGCTTCCACGTACATATGTGTTATATTCTAAGTTGATTCTTCTCGAACTGACCTACGAAGAGTATTTTAAATCTTTAGTCATCATAAATATTTAGGGTATAAAGAAAAATGAATGTAACTTAAAATACACTTGAAGGCTATACAGAAAAGATAAGAGTTGCATACAACTGCAAGAAGAAAAAGTGCTTTCCTATGGAAAGATAAAGGATACAATTAGTTTGGGTAGATTTCTGCAATGTTATATGCAGAACTTGATTTGCATGTAGTCAGATTGAATTTTCATCATATTAAAAGTCTGAGACTTAATGTTTGGGTTTTGTTGTTGTTGTTTTTTATTGACATAGGGTCTTACTATGTACACCAGGCTGGCCTTGAACTCATGATCCTCCTGCCTCAGGTTCCTGCCTGCTAGGTAAAGGCATATACCACCATGTCCAGGATGAGTTCTTTTGTCTTGAGGGCCTTACATACCTCTAGGACCACATTAAGCATTTAAGATACAAAAATCAATTAGGAGAGCATTGGTGTAACAGTTTTCAATCTTGCTGCACATGTGAATCATTTGGGGGAGTTTTAAAATACAGGAAACTGGAGGACATCAGTTAAGTAAAGTAAACCAGGCACAGAAAAACAGATACCACATGTTCTTGTGTGGATAGGCTAAAAAAGTTCATTTCATGTAGTTGAGAATAAATAGTGGTCACGTGAGGTTAAGCGTGGGCATAGAGGGAGGTGGGATAGCAGGTACTAAAGTACAGTTTGATCGGAGGAATACTTCTAGGATCAAGTGAGTATAATTTATAATAATTATATATCTCTATCTCTCTATAGTTTTTGGTAGTGCTAGGGTTTGAACTCAGGACCTCATGCTTGCTAGGCAAGTGCTCTACCACTTGAGCCACATTTCTAGCCCATTTTTTTCCATGAGTTATTTATTTATGTAGGGTCTTGTGTTTTTACCTGGAGCCAGCCTCAGATTATGATCCTCCTACCCATGGCCTCTCTGTAGCTGGGACCACAGCTGTGTACCACCATGCCCTGCTTATTGACTGAGATGGGGGAGGGGGGGTCTCATTAACTTTTTTTCTCCCTGGGTTGGCTTCAAACTGTGATCCTCCTGATCTCTACTGTCTGAGTAGTTGGGATTACAGGCATAAGCCACTGCACACAGTCCTTTATTATATATTTTATGAAGAACTAGAAGAGAGGTGTTTGAAGGTTCACAATACAAAGAAATGTTAAATGTCTCTCTTTTTTTTTTTTGTGGTATTGGGGATTGAACTCAGGGCTTTGTGCTTGATAGGTAAGCTCTTTACCACTTGAACAACACCCCAATCCTTTTGCTTTTTAGTTTATTTTTTAGGATCTAGAGCTTTTGCCTGGGTCGTCCTCCTACCTCTGTCTTCAAAGTAGCTGGGATTAAAGTTGTGCTCCACCACATCCAGCTTATTTTTAAGATAGAGTCTTACTAACTTTTGCCCAGGTTGGGCAATATTACATACTTTATGCAAGTATTGAATTATCACACTGTATCCCATAAATATGTACAATTGTATCAATTAAAAAATAGGACTAGAGTTGACATCATAGTCTTCGGTGCTGAGACCTAGATATCTCAATATTTTAGAAGTATCTCAGTGATTTTGATATGTAGCAAAGCTTGACAGTTTAGTAAGAATTAATAGACATTAAGATTATAAAAAGAGTACAGCACATGAGGAATATTTTATGTAACAGAGGTATTATATCGTGTGGCACAAAGTAGGTTTTATTTTTTAGCTTCTTTGGGAGTAGGGTGATCCCCAGAGAAGGCTTTACAAAGAGGAACAGTTTTACCCAATAGATCAAATTGAAAATGGGGGTCAGGTAGATGTGTTGTGAAGAATTGTTTTTGCATGCTGAGGATTGGATTCAGGGCCTTGTGCATGCTAGGCAAGTGTATTACCTCCTAGCTACATCCGCAGTTCTTTGTTGTGAGGATTTATTATATAAGCAGGGAAAAATTTTAAAGCCTGTATAAAATGTTTGGTACATAGTGGAGGGGTTGTAGTTAACATGGTATCGCTGTACTACAATGGGAGTAGGGAAAGGAACAACAGAAAATGAGGCTGAGAGACCAGATACTGGCAACCCTTGGAAGCCTGTGTTTCTTAAACTTAAGTCATTGGTGGTATACCAAGGGGTACATCTGATGTGTCCATCTTACTTCAGATACTGGGGAGAGCATTTTTATTTTAAATAATCTTGTGTACTAGTCAATTAAATGTGATACTTGTTGGAGCATTTGGACAGGTAGTTAGGGTCAGACTCTGGAGGGCAGATTAGCTCCTTTGCCATGAGAAACCAGAAAGCATTTTTGGAATGGTGTGAGAAGTATAAGACTTTGTAGAATGGAGAGCCGTTGAAGGTTGTTTTAAAATTGTTTTTATTTTTTATATTTTTGTATAATAGCTATATTGAGTTATCACTTACAAATACACAATTAACTCATTTTTATAGTGTTCAATTTAATAGATTTTAGTATATTCACAGAGGAGTACCACCACTTTTTCAAAAAACTTTTTATTTAAAGTATATTCTATATATTAAAAATTGTGCATAGTGGACAGACAACCAAGAGCAAATAAGGCACCCTGAAGGAGGGATAGGATGTTCATTGCAAGCATTCAGGGTTCACTCGGCTCAAACATTTTTCCCCTTTGAAAGGTTTTAATCAAGATGTAATAGGAACAAATCAGTTGATTGTTAACTTGTGAGAATGAAGTTTTCCTAAAAAACTCCTTTTACCCTTTCTCCACTGCAGTCCTATTTCATTTAAGAAGAAGAGGTAGGTCTGAGGTCTTGACTTAGTTGCTAGATCTGGGAGGAAACAAGTATAACAGCTAAATATGGACTACCTGGTGTTTCATCTGTGCACGTAGGGAGACTCCATTTCAAGAAAAGATTTGCAGGGCTGGCGGAGTGGATCAAGTGGTAAGAGCACCTGCCTAGCAAGTATGAGGCCCTGAGTTAAACCCCAGTGCTGCAAAAGAAAAAAAAGAAATTGCTGTTTTGAAATACAAGTTGTCTATGACATATATTTTCACTGCCCAGTTGTATGTATATAATTTATTGCCAAGTGATTTTTTTGTTTGTTTATATAGGAGAGAGTAAACTCCTAAAATCCTATTAATATCTTATCGTCACAGTGATTGACAGTTATATTTGAATTGCATGATTTTCTTCATTTTGTAAACTCGGCTGTCCCTTTCTTGCCTGGGAATTTGAATTTGGAGGTGGGGAGGAATCAATAGAGAATAGCTTACTTATAAAATCTAATGATTTGATAAGATTAAAATTAATCTGAATTAAAGAGGTAAGGAAACAGTTCAGGATGTGAACTTTAATTTTCTCCTAAATTTGAAAATGAATATAAAATTATTTTAGTGACAAATTTGAAACTGTAGGTATTGCCTTTATAGTAGATGATATTAATGCTAATTTTTCAGATGTGATATTTATGCATGGGGTAAAGTGTCATGATATCTACACTTAATTTCAAATGGTTTAGTGTAAAAAACTGGGTGAATGTGTGTGCATGTATTGAGATAAAGGAAACCTGGTAAACTGATAGTAAGAGAATTTAGGAAAAGGAATATACATGTTCATGCAACAATTCTTTTACATTTTTTGCTAGGTTTGAAATTTTTTATAATTAAATATTGGATGAAAAAATTAATACTAGGCTTAAAATTCTACTTAATCACAGGGTTTGTTAGTACATGCATGTGGGCACACATTTTAACGTGTGTTTTTGTACTTCTCTCAGCTTCTTAATTGCTTAGCAATTGTTTCTATCAGAGTATAACATGTATAATGCAAGTTTATTGTTTTCAGTGCCTTATTCACTGGCATCACATTTCTGCACAACCATTACCACTATCAATTTTCAGAAGTTTTCCGTCATTCCAGATAGAATCTCTGTGCCCATTGAACAGTAATTCCTTGTTCCCCTCTTCCTTTCTCTCTCCCTCAGCAATTTGTTATATTTATGTTCTGTGTTGTTTAGCTAGAAGGGAACTTTAATTCTGATCTTAGGTCAAGATAGGTTTTTAAATGTTTTTTATTTTGAAATAATTTTAGATCTACAGAAGCCTTGCAAAAATAATACCGAGTTACTGTGTACCTTTCCTCTGGTTGCCATGATTTATTATCTTACACATAACATAGTATGATTATCAAAATAAGAAAATAACATCAGTACAATACTATTAACTAAGCCAGGTGTTGACAAATTACACCTTTGGGTCACATGTAACTGCCTGTTTTTCTAAAATAAAGTTTTACTGAAACAAAGCCATATTCATTCATTTACTGTTTTCACATACGTACAACGAAACAGTTGAGTAGAGATGAGTATTTGCAACAGAGACTGTATGGTCCATAAAGTCACAAAGCATTTTTTGCCATCTGAAGTTAGCTATGTATCTTACTCAAACATCATTAACTTTCCCATTAATGTTCTTTTTCTGCTCAGGTAATCCAGTTTAAATATCCCACATTGCGTTCACATATAATGTCTCCTTAATCTGCTCCAATCTGTGACAGTCTCTCATTCTTTTCATTCATGATTTTGAGACTTTTGAAGAGTATTGATTCATTATTTTCTCAGCTGTCCTTCAATATATTTTTGTCTAATGTTTTCTCATGATTAAATTGAGCTTAATATATTGTAAGCACTTTTGTAAATGCCACAGTGCAGCCCCAGTACAACAATAATATAATAAAAATAAATTGAAGTTACTATACATTTTGACAAGAATACCACAGAAGTTGATGTATCATTCTCAGTACATCATTTCAAGGGTGTATTACATCAGTATTTCTTTTAACTGGTAATACTAACACTAGCTACATAACTTAAGTTGTTGTCTGCAGGTTTTTAACATTGTAAGGAAAATACATGATTTTTCTCTTTATGTATAATGAGTATTTTGTGCGGAGCTACTTTGAGGTTATGCACATATCCTATTATTGTATTTTAAGCCCACCAATTTTAGCATCCATCTTGCCTGAAGCAGTTATTACTGGGGTGTTTGCCTAATAACTGATTTTCTATGTCTTACTTCCACATTTAGTAATTGTAAGCAAAAACTCTTTCCTCCCATATACTTATTTATATTTATTTATATTAATATGGACTTACAGATGTTTACTTTTTAAATGTTTAATTGATATAATTATACATATTTATGGTGGTCAGTGTGAAGTTTTCATACATATATACATTGTGTAGTGATCAAATCAGGATTTTTAGCTCATTTGTCAATCTCAAACATTTATCGTTTCTTTGTGGTGAGAACTTTCAAAGTCTTGTAGCTATTTTGAAATACATGATATACAATATTATTAACTGTAATTGCCCTTTTCTGTACTAGCCACTAAACTTATTCCTCCTATGTAGCTGTTTCTTTGTATCCATTAGCCAATCTCCTCCCTTCCTTTCTCCTAACCTCCCCTACCTCTGGTAACCACTATTCTACTCTCTACTTCCTTGAGATTTTATTTCCAAAATGCACTAGTATAATGTTTATTGTGTTGCTCTAATTGTTCCAGCTTTGACTATTAGGAGCTCCCTCAAGTTGGATTTTATGTCCTTTCTACATGTGCCTATCATTGTTTGAACACTGCTTTATGCCATTGTAAAGTGTTTGAGGCTTATCTTGGATTTTCCTCACCCCGTTTTGTGTGACATATGGATCTTCTGGAATTTCATATGCCTCTGTCACTGTGACAATTGCGATACAGAAATAAGAGAAGTAACATTGGAGATTTCCTTCAAACTCTAGTCACAACATGCAGGGTTCCTTTCCCCCAGTGCTTTGGCTAGAAAACTGTAACAGTTTTGCTGTCAGTACCCTCTGTGTAGTTTTGGAATTTGGCTTGCCTTCCAATCAAAACCAGGAAACCTAGGAAGAAAATAACCCATGACACTCACAGCTGTCCTGTCTTGTGCATCCCTCTCATTCCACCATTGCAGAGGAGTCATTACTCAGGCAACAATCTGCTTGTTACTGTTTCTCTTTGAGTCCTTACGTGGTTTCTTTATGTGTCCTGTTCATAGTTTTTAGTTGTCATCAATGGGGGGGGGGCGGAGTCTGTAATCATCTTTCTCCATCTTGATGAGCCTACTTCACTTTAAATGGCCAGACCTCTTTTTCATTAACTTTACTGACTGGTAGTTCTCATTTTGTTAATCTATATATAACTACTTATGCTTTAATGTAGAACTGTAGTTTAATAATTACGTTTGGAATGCATATGAATTATATTTGTACTTTATTCAAAATGTTTGGGATCAGAAGCATCTCATATTTTGGGGTTTTTGTTTGGATTGGAATATTTCCGTGTGAATAATGAGGTATCTTGGGTAAGGATATACCTTACACACAGAGCCTGAGGGTAATTTTGTACAATCTTTTTTGTGTACCTGCATTTTGATAGCATTTCATCACATGAGGTCAGAAGTGAGATTTTCCACTTGTGGAATCATGTTAGCACTCAGGAAGTTTCAGATTTTCTTACTAGGGATGCTCAACTTCTGCTATTTAAATCATTAAGTGGTATATTCTATATGATGTAATGTGCATTCATGTGTATACTACTAATGTTCTTCATATAATGCTCGATAAATTTTAATGGGAAGTTATTGGCAAATTAAGTGAATTTTGTTTCTTTTGTAAAATATTTACCAATTTGATTTTTTTTTAATTCAAGTGAGCAGTGAAGATTCAGAAGATTCTGATTTTCAGGAATCGGGAGTTAGTGAAGGAGTTAGTGAATCTGAAGATGAACAGCGTCCTAGAACAAGGTATTACACGTTTTTGTCAAATTTTAGGAATTAATCTGAATAATTGTGCTTCAGATTACTTGAAAAATGGTTGCTATTGCCAATGAAGTTAAGTAATATACAGAATATTTTGATTTGAATCTAACTTAAAATTCTTAATTTAAAAAGTATGAACATATTTTATATATTTCATTGTGCATAACCACTCCTTACTGAAGCTTTTGGTTATTATGAAAGGAATTTGTTGTGTATTAGATAAGAGACTCTGTAGACAAACATCTTCAATCTGACTTTGGGCTTTGCTACTTTCTATTTGTATGAATATCCTACACCTCAGTTTTCTCATCTGTAAAATAGGGGATTACAATATGCTTACCTTATTGATTATTGTGGGCATTAAATAAGACAATGTATGTAAAAGGATTATAACAATATGTACATGGCAATTAGTAATTGTTTAATGAATGCTAATTATTGTTCTTAGTATTAGAATAATAAAGATGTGTTTTTTCTCTATGTCCAGATTACTAGTTACATAAAAATGTTGCTGCTTTTTCAGCATAGTTTTTTTTAGATAATAGTAACCATTCTGAGAATTAAAAGGTTTCTTCCAGAATAACATGATCCTTCTATAATTTAGCAAATAGTTTATTTCTGTTTGTGTACGTGTGCATGTCTACATAAATGTCTATCTGTACTTTTTATGTTTTGAGATTTTTTTAGGTTAATACTTATCAGGGCTATGCTTAGTATATAGCAGTATATTATACTTCAGGACAATATAAAATAATAATATGAACTTTTAAAAAAACTGAAATATAATACACATAACATGAAATTCAGTATTCGTGTTAGCTTTCAGAATGTGCACAGTTATGCAACCACTGCCAACTATCTGATTTCAGAACATTTCCTTCACCCCTGAAACTCTAAATATGTGTGCTTTTATGAATGGATTCTTTAACTTAGCTTAAAGTTTTCAAGGTTCAACCATGTTTTAGTCTATAACAGTGTTTCATTACTTTTGTTTTTGTGGTGCTGGGGAATAAAACCAAGTTTCTTGTTAATGATGGCATGTGCTCTATCACTGAGCTACACCATGGAGCTACACCCTAGCCTACTTCATTACTTTTTCCATGATTATTATTAATGGTGACAAAATAAACATAGCTAAAATTGACCGTATTAACCTTTATTTTTTAAATGTTACCAGGGTTTGAATTTGGGGCATCACGTTTGCTAGGCAGGCACCCTACACTTGAGCCACACTGCCACCCCTTTTTGCTTTGGTCGTTTTTCGGACAGAGACTCTCTTTTGTGTTCCATTTGTGCTCCATCTGGCCTGCTATTTGTGCTTCCCCATATAGCTGGGATGACAGGTGCGCACCACCTCACCCAGCCATTGGCTTATATGGGGTTTCACGGACTTTTTTTGGGTTGGGGTCCTGGGTTGACCTTGAACAACGAACCTCCCTATCTCTACCTCCCCAGTAGCTAGGACTACAGGCTTGAGCCTGTAAGGTGAACTTAACCGTTTTTACGTGTATAGTTTGGTAGTGTTAATTACATGTACTGATTTTAGCAACCATTCTCTAGAACATTTTTATTTTATAAAACAGAAACTGTACACAGTACACAGTATTTCCCCTTCATCCCTTTCCTCTAACCCCTCCACCCACTATCCTACTGTCTATGAATTTTACTACTCTAGGTACCTCATATAAGTGTAGTCATGCAATATTTGTTATTTTGTTCCTGGCATATTTGATTTAGCATCATGTCCTCAGGATACATCCATATTGTAGTATGTGTCAGAATTTTTTCCCTTTACTTAAGTCTGAATAATATTAGATATTTTTTATCCAGTTATCCATTTATGGACACTTGGTTTGCTTCTACCTTTCGGCTATTATGGATGATGCTAATATGAGCATGGATATACAAATGTCTCTTCAGGTCCCTATTTTCAGCTCTTTTGGATATATAACCAAAAGTGAAATTGGATCATATGATAATTCTATTTTAATTTATTGTTTAATTAGGTTTTCCATAGCAGCTGTACCACTTCAGATTCAAGGGTTCTACTTTGCATCATCCTAACCTAGCACTTGTTATTTTGTCTGAATAAATGTGGCTTTGCAAACCATTTTCTAAGCCCAGAAATACTTTTCTCAGCAAGATTTGTTTTTTTAAATCTCCAAGGCCTATTATGAAGAGAGAGAATTTAATTTTTATAATTTGTTTCTATGCACAGAGCTATAGTATTTCCAAAGTAGTACATAATTCATTGAAGGAAATTCATGAAGTATTTTATTTTGCATTCAAAATTTTCTTCAGGTCTGCAAAGAAAGCAGAATTGGAAGAAAACCAGCGGAGTTATAAACAAAAAAAGAAAAGACGACGTATTAAGGTTCAAGAGGATTCATCCAGTGAAAATAAAGTAATGATGACATTTGTTATGTGCTTGAATTATAATTGGTATACTATCTAGTATACTATAATAAATATACCATTATCTCTCTGTGTTCCATTCATTAGTTGTATTTTATTGGCTTATATATATTTTACACTTGTGGAAGGACTTGTTTATTGAGTATATAAAGAGGTAAAATATTATCTTTATAACCAATTTTTCTATACAATTTCTAATGGATATTTAAACCATTCTAATTCATTAGTTTACATTCATAGGGTTATGGAAGTTGTACATAGTGTTATATTTCATGACAACAGAAAATGCTTTAACCTGAATGATTAGTTACATATATGTTTCTTCTACCAATAAAATTAGCCAATTTGAGTTTCTTTTATATGGATTGATTATTTAAGCAAAAATTGCTGTAATATGTTTGATTCTGTTAACACTATTCTTTATTAGGGGAGGGTTCATCTTTTTTGTTGTTGTGATGGTGGTGTTTAGAAGTGTCCTCAGGGCCTGGCACATCCTACCACTAAGTCACATCTGTAGCCCAGATGGGTTCATTTTTCTAAAAATTACCTTTTTAAACATTTCAGAGTATATAATTCAGTGGCCTCAATTACATTCACAAGCACAAAGAAACTCCAGACCCATTAAACAGTAACTCCTTATTTCCTATCTCTTCTGCAGTCCCTGATTAAGTCTATTCTAATTTCTGTCTCTGTGAATTTGACTATTTTAAGTAAGCACCTCCTATATGTAGTATTATACAACATTTGTGCTTTTGTGTAGGATGTAACTTCATTGATACAATGTTTTCAAGGTTCAGTTATATTGTAGCACACGTCAGAATTTCATTCTTTTTAAGACTGAATATACCCTTGTGTATGTATGCCACATTTTGTTTGTCTGTTCTTCTGTTCAGAGACATATGAGTAATGCTGTTACAAATGTGGCTGTACAAATATCTGAAACTGGCGTTTAATTCCTTTTGGTATGCATCAAGTAGTATAATTGGATCTTACATAAGTCTGTGTTTAACTCTTTTCCTTCTTTTTATTTCTGTGTTTAACTTTTTGAGGAACTTCCACACTCCTTTTCTCTACTGGCTATGTTATTTAACATCCCGTACGAGCACATACCAGAACTCCAAATTCTCCACATCCTTGTCAACATTCATTTTCTTATTTTTCTTTTTTATTCAACAACGAACATCTTAATGAGTGTGAAATGGTGTATCGTTGTGGTTTTGATTTGCGTTTCCCTTATAGCCAGCGATGTTGAGCATCTTTTCATGTTCTTATTAGCCATTTGTGTATCTTCTTTTAAGAAGTATCTATTTTTTCTGTTCCTCAGCCCATTTTAATTGGAGTTTTAGTCAACATTTTTTTTTCTTTTTTGAGATAGGGTCTCACTATGTGTCTCAAGCTAGGCTCAAACTTGTATTCCTCCTGCATTGGTCTCCTGGGTGTATTTAGGGATCATCACCACTAAATATAATTCTAAAGCTTTTCACCATGTTTTCTTTTATCATTTCTTGGTATATTAAATGGTGGAATGTGAAATGGATAAATTTTACTGTTTACCTTTATCATTTAAATTCTATAGAGTAATTCTGAAGAAGAAAAAAAGGAAGACGAAGAGGATGAAGAGGAGGAGGAGGAAGATGAAAATGATGATTCTAAGTCTCCTGGAAAAGGCAGAAAGAAAATTCGGAAGATTCTTAAAGATGATAAACTAAGAACAGAAACACAAAATGCTCTTAAAGAAGAAGAAGAGAGGCGAAAACGTATTGCTGAGAGGGAGCGTGAGCGAGAGAAATTGAGAGAGGTAGCCAACTTATTTCTACTTGATATATGATTTTCATAGATATATGTCATGCAGATATTTCAGTATTTCAAGAGTAGAGTATTGTAATCAATTACAGAGTCCAAGTTAAAATTGTTTTTATGTCCTGTTTTTATGCATCTTTAAAATCCTTATTAGGCTTTATTAGTATAATTAGATACATGGGACGAGTTGACATGTCTTGTGTGATCACCAAAATGATTTGTGGTGTGTTTGGGTAGAATTTTTTTTTCGTGGTGGTGGTATGGGGTTTGAACTCAGGGCTTTGCACTTGCTAGGCAAGTGCTCTATATACTTGAGCCCACCTAGTCTGAAATGTTTAAAAATTATTTCTCACACCCATAAAGGATTTTTTTTTTGTGGTGCTGGGGATGGAACCCAGGGCCTTGGGTGTAGTAGGCAAGTACTGTACCACTGAGCTATGTCCCCAGCCCAAAAATTTCTGTTCTTTCTCTCTTTATTCTTAGTATTGTACTGGGGTTACATTGTGACATTTACAAAAGTTCTTATAAGATATCTTCAGTTGAATTCACTCCCTTCATCAATCTCCTTTAATCCATCCCCCCTTGTACTCATTTAGAAAGAATAGCGTAGTAAACCTCCATATATCCATTGATCTGGCTTCATCCAGGACCAGACTTGTTATATCTGTTTACTTACTTTCACATTATTTTGGAGAATAATAATCTCTCTGGAACCAAATTCCAGAAATCTTATCAATTTGTCTATAAATAGTTAAGAATGCAGTGTTCAAAGATAAGGGTCTTTTTTTTGGTGGTTGTGGACTTTGAACTTAGGTCCTTGCATGAGCCATCCCTGCCCCCCCCAGTCCTTTCTGTATTAATATTTCTGCTTCCCATGTAGCTGGAATGACAGGTGCATGCCACCAGGCCCAGCCATGGTTGAGATGGGGTCTCCCAAACATTTTTGCTTGGGATGGCTTTGAACCATAATCCTCCCAAGCAGGTAGGATTGCAGGTGGGAACCACTGTGCCCAGGATCTTTTAAACATTACTACCATAACATTATTATGCTTCGTTTCTTAATTTGCTTGCAAACGTAGTTTTTTTTTTTTAAATAGTTGGTGTGAATTAGTGTCCTAGCAATGTGCAGCCACATATTCGGTGGCATTTGGATACTGTATCTCTCATCTATTTAAATCCATTCTTTTGTTCTTTTGTTTTTTTCTCCCCATTCTTACATTTAACTTGTTATAGAAACCAAATTGGGTAAAATTTCCTATATTCTAAGTTTTGCAGGTTGCATCCCTGTGGTATAGTTTCATTGGCTCCTATTTTTTCTATTAACTGGTAGTTTGATCTAGAGATCTAGAGGTCAGTTCTTTTTTTGCCAGAAATACTCAGTCTTCCTCTTGCATCTCACTAAGAGGTTCTTTAAATCTGGTGGTCTTTATTCACTGTGTTAATTTTATTTATTATTTTAATAGGGAGTAGACTTATTTAAGAAGCCATTAAAACCCCAAATTATCACTTCCTGGGTTATTTTTTAAAGGCATGCTACTGTTTGGGCCATGCCTCCAATCCATTTTGCTCTGGTTGTTTTGGAGAGGGGGTCTCATGAACTATGTTACTAACTTTCTCATCCAGGTCTTGAGCTGACTTCCTTACTTCATCAGTTTGTTTGAATCCTGTTTGAGGTCATTGATAATTTTTAATACTAGACTTTTGAGTTCTTTTTCTGGCATTTCAGGCATTTCAGTATCTTTGGATTCAGTTATTGAGTTACAGGCTTTAGGAGAAGTCATATTACCTTGCTTTTTCATATTTCTTGTGTTTCTAAGTTGTGATCTGTACAACTTTTTGGATGAATATCTCTTCTGGTTTTATTCAGGAATCTTTGTAGTAAGCAGCTTTCTCTCGAGGGTTCAATACTTAGTACCACTCAGAGGAGAAAACAAACCACTGTAATAGTAACAGCACTGTTCAGACTGCTGTTGTATGCAGGCTGAAGGCCAGGCCAGTCAAGGTCATTTGTCAGCTTCAGAGCTGTGTTCACTGTATATACTTGGTTTTTTTGGCAGTCCTGGGTTTTGAACTCAGGGTTTTTCGCTTGCTAGGTAGGTGCTGAACCACTTGAGCAATGCCCCCAGCCCTTTTTTGCTTTAGTTATTTTTCAGGTGGAGTCTCACGTTTTTTGTCTAGGGCTGGAATGGCCTTCCCATAGCTGGGATCACATGTGTATACCACCATGCCTAGCTTATCGATTGAGATGGGGTCTCACTAACTTTTTGCCCAGGCTGACCTCTAACCATGACCCTCCCTATCTCTGTCTCCCAAGGAGCTGGGATTATAGGATTGAGCCATTAAGTCTAGCCTGCATTCACATTAGAAGTCTCCCTTCTTGTGTACCTGGAGCCACTACTGGCCCCAATGAACTTTTGCAGCCTGTGGTTAGGATTGCCAGTCTGTTGTCACTAGGGCTTCCTGGCTTACCTTGTCATTGTGGCTTCAGCTTCCCCTTACTCTGGAGGAGCTGGGGTTGGAGCTGTGGGCTGTTTGCTACTTTTCTCTGCATAGTCTTTCTCTTTCTCAGTGCTTTTCAGCTGTCCTGTCACCTCTTTCATATTTCTAGATGTTCTTTCTCTCTTTCTTCAGAATGTAGTCTGTCCTTTGTTACCCTGATTCTTCTCATTCATGGAGTCACAAGAAAGAAGTTTTCTTTTCCTCCATCTTGCCCCAGAACTCATATATTTTTATGGACTTTTTTTTAAATTGTACTGGGGTTTGAACTCAAGACCTTGTGCTTGCTAGGCAGGTGCTCTACTGCTTGAGCCACTCTGCTAGCCCTATATACTTTTTTATGTTTGATTCAAAATAATTAACAGGCCACATTGAGTTGCAAAAACTGTAATCCAAGCACTCAAGAGGTTGAGGCAGGAAGAGGCTTTTCTGGGCTACATAGTGAGTTTGGGGATAGCCTGGGGTACAAAGTGAGACTGTGTCTTAAAATAATAATTGTAGTAGTAGTAGTAGTAATGATAATAATAAGGTGGAGAGTGGGTGGGAGGCTATCAGTAAAACCTGGACATAATTTTGATAATTGTTGAAGCCAAGTGGCTGGTAATCAGGCTCAGTCTTTTATTCTTTCCACTTTTGTATACGTTTGGCAATTTTTCTGTCAAACATAACAAAATAAATGTGTTACTGGTTGCAAATGTAAAGAATAACAGATAAATTAAACTTGAATTGTATTCGTTAAACATTGTAATGTTTATAATTTTTAAATTATTTTTATTTCTTTTCATGGAACCATAAAACTATTTGTATAAGCATTCTTTTGCTAAAGTAGTATTTTGTAGTAGTTAAGAACACGGATACTGAAGGCCAATTATCTGGGTATAAATTTCATCATTGTGATAGTTATTAATTGCATGAACTTTTGCAAGTTATTTAACTTCTCTGCCCCTCAATTTTTTCATGTACAAAATGGCAATACTTGGGCCTGCACTATACAGTTATTGGGTATATTATGTAAGGAATAGAGATTAGGAAACGACAGCAAAAATATATATGTATATACAGACTTGTGTGTGCATGTGTATCTAATTAAGTTTTCTTTTACTGATGTTTTTGTGGTGCTGAGGATCCAATTTAGGACCTTGTGCATGGTAGGCAAGCACTCTACCACTGACCCCAAGTCCCCAAGTTTTCTTTTAAATATCAAATTTGAGATCATTGTTTCCCTTTTGTAACTAGGTGGTATTATATGTTCTTGTCATGCTTTTTGAGCCTGTGATTCTGAAACCAATGTTTCTAAGTGATTTTCACTTTCATGACATATATTTATTGTCTTATATTGGGAGTCATGTTGACATCTTAGGTGGACAGTTCTTGTATGAGACTATCATTCACATTGGAGAACTTCTATGTTTGTATTTCCCTTCTGCTTTTCCTCTAGTCAATACCACTCGTGACCAGTCATTGTGATGATAACTATAAATGCCCTCACACATTTTCAGATTTCCTGTGGAAGAAGTGAGCTATCCCTTGTCGGGAGCCATGTGTCCATTCGGATTTTAGTAGTGGTGTGATAGAACAATTGGGGCATTTGTTTTCTCACAATCCTACCTAATAGGTGTTTTGAGATATCCTTTTTAAGCTAAATTATTGACATTATCATCGTGATTTCAAGTCTTCTGGAGGTTTTTGATTTTGGAAAATATAAACCTGGATTTTAGTCTGGCCTTATTGAACCAAGATATTGAAAGTGTTGTGTGGCAATAGATGTGTCTGTATTTTTGAAAACTTCCCTGACTAAGATGGATGCTCCAAAAATGATTTCCATGACTTTAGCTATCAACAGTTTCCTTTTTTGTAGGTGATAGAAATTGAAGATGCCTCACCCACCAAGTGTCCCATAACAACCAAGTTGGTTTTAGATGAAGATGAAGAAACCAAAGAACCTTTAGTGCAGGTTCATAGAAACATGGTTATAAAACTGAAACCCCATCAAGTAGATGGTAAGAAACTATTATGTGATTCACTTACTTCTACTTAAATTTTACTGATGTTTGTTTTCTTCTTTGTGCTTCACATTCTGCTAAGCATTGGGGTTATATTGGTGAGCAGAAACATAATCTCTGCTCTTATATAGCTAATAAGCAAGTGAGGAAGAACAAAATTGGGTGAAGGCAAACATAGTGGATGCTATTAAGTGGGAAAGAAGTACTGCTTACAGATGAGTATGTACAGCAAGTGCATTTCACTTAGTCTTCAGTGGTTGGCTAAGGGGTTGGGGGAGGGAAGAGATACAGTTAACTAAAAGCCTTATTTTGGAATGCTATTTCAACATATTCAGGTATGTTTTAAGATAACATTCCTACATTGATACTAGAAAGCTCCTCAACTATCCCTGCCCTCTGCTTTTTTAGAGTGGAATTAGTCAATTTTGAGTATGTATGTCAATTAATTCATAATGGAAATTATACAAGTCCTACTTCTTAGGTTGCTAGCTTCTTTTTTTTATTAGTTTCTACTATTGAATAAAAGAAGAAATAATTATCTCCTAGGATTTTTTTTCCTCATTGGCTCAATAAACTTAAAAGTGTATTTGATAGGAAGCTGTTCCCTCTTTGGATAAAGTTTTATTTTGGAGTATTCTTAGGTCACCGACGATCCCAAGGAGTAAAAAACGTCTGTGATAGCTCAGATAATATGAACAAAAGAAATTACCCTGTTGTATGCTTGTGTCTTGTGTCTGATTTACCTTAGTGAAGAAAAAAATTCCATTTACATTTAAGAATTTCTTTTGCTTAGTGTTGTTTTTAATACTATTTCTTAGAAATTTTGGTTGTTTCTAATATGTGAAAAGAGTTTTAAATTTGACCTTTCAACCTAATGAAACTGTCATTTTTTTAGGCGTTCAGTTTATGTGGGATTGTTGCTGTGAATCTGTAAAAAAAACAAAGAAATCTCCAGGTTCGGGATGTATTCTTGCCCACTGTATGGGCCTTGGTAAGACTTTACAGGTAAGAACTCAGGAATATGTAAGCATCCTGTTTTGTGCTTATATTAACATACATTGGATTCTGTTGTGTTCCAGGCACTGTTGTTGGGGCTGGTGATAAAGCAGTGAAAAAGATTCTCCTCAAGAATCTTATATTCTGATGGCGAGTAAATTCAGAAATAGGTACTTTCAGATAATAAGTGCTAAAGGAGGATGGAGAGTTGGGGAAGGCATCTTTAAAGAGGTGATGTTTGAGCAGAGATCCTAGTGAAGTGAGGCAGTGGGCTTGAGGGTATGGCTAACAACAATTGCAAAGACTGTAAGGTGAAAATTAACTTCTTTGACATCTTTTAGCAGTATGTTTTAGTACAGGAATAAGAATTTTTCAGTATTAAAACCGCTTCATTTTTAGGGCTTGGGTGTAGTTCAGTGGCTTAACCCTTGCCTAACATACACAAGTCCCTGGTTTTAAACCATAGTACTGCCCCAAAATTACTGCATTTCTTAAGTGGCAGGAGTTGTACCAGAGATGTGAAATTGTTGGTTATGTTTGTAATTTTAGAGCATAAGGTAATCATTACAGATTCAGTAAATCAGAACATAATGAAATAGAAAAGTGCCGTGTAGCATAATTCACTTCTACATGGGGGAAGTTGGGGGGTGGGCGTTCTGTGGAAACCAGGGATTTTGTTTTGGTGTGACATCCTCATATTATTTATATTGATCATAGAATCATGGGCTTTAAAGTGGGAGGGCCTTATGCATTACCTAGTTGAATTTTAAAATTGTATTTCTTTCCCTGTACTTTATGTGGGTTGGAAATTATGATCTGTTGATTGGTTGGTTGGCTTTGTTGTTTAAAGCAAATAAATCTATTAAGGTGTGATTCCTTGATTTCTAACTTTTTTGTGGTTATTTAAATGAAAATGGTAACTTATTTTGTTTTCTTGTAGGTGGTAAGTTTTCTTCACACAGTTCTTTTGTGTGACAAATTGGACTTTAGTACAGCTTTAGTGGTTTGTCCTCTTAATACTGCTTTGAACTGGATGAATGAATTTGAGAAGTGGCAAGAGGGATTAAAAGATGATGAGAAGCTTGAGGTATCGTATTTTAAATAATTTCCTTTAAAGTGATTACACGAAATTCATATAGTAAGAGTTATAATTACTCATATTTTAATGGTAATGTTTAGTATTCATGCATTTTAATAATCACATTTAAAAAATTATTTTTCCACAAAAGGTCTCCGAATTAGCCACTGTGAAACGTCCTCAGGAGAGAAGTTACATGCTTCAGAGGTGGCAAGAGGATGGTGGTGTTATGATCATAGGGTATGAGATGTACAGAAATCTTGCTCAAGGAAGGAATGTGAAGAGTCGGAAACTTAAAGAAATATTCAATAAAGCTTTGGTTGATCCAGGTAAGGTATTAACAAGCACTGACATGAAGAAGCAAGTTGAAAAAAGACAAGTTAACAAATACTAATTGAGCAACTGCTAAGAAACTGGTATTTCCTTCATTTATCTTCAGATTTTTGCCTTCTTTTTGATTCTTAGTATCAAGGTTCATTTCAGTAAGGTAAAATCACCCTCAATGTTGCTAGATGTTCAAACTTTAATTTCCGAGTGTGGAAGTGTTTAGGATTTTCATAGAACACCTCATAAAACAAAAGTGCCTATGTCACAATTGTAGCTTTTTTTCAACAGTCTCAACATTCTTGTCTGATAACAAGAAGTTTCTCCAGAGTCAGGTGAGGGCATACAAGCCTACAATCCCAGCACTTTGGTGGCTGAAGCATGAGGATCAAGAGTTCAAGGCCAATCTGGGCTATATAAACAAGACCCTGTCTCAAAAACAGACACACAAAAACAAAAAAACTCTCCCCATACTCGGAAAACAGTTCTTAAGCCTCTCTTCTCTTTGCTGCTTGCTTATCTGTCTTTTAAAGTGCCATCACTATGGGAGGCTGATATTTGCAATATTGTCTATCCTTATTTAATAGTAATTTGATATGATGGCCAAATAGTTCATCTTATTGGCCTTGTGGAAAAGCTACACGTTCTATGTCCAAAACAAAAATTAAGTTTTATTTAAGATTATAAATTTATGTGTATAATTTTTTCTTCTTTAAATGTTATTTTGTCATATCATTACTTCAAGATACTGTAAGTTTTATATTTGTTGAGAAAGTCTCGATAATTGTCACAGTCAAAATTAACACTAGTTTTTAAAGTCCGTGGCTTTGCCTCTTTTTTTTTAAGAGAGGAAGAATGATATAATTAATATAAACCAAAGTAACTTTGCCATTGTAAATCTAAGACCTAATAAGTTTATCTTTTTCAGATGATCAAAGTGGATGTCAAAAAATCCTGTGGTTGGTTCATTTTTTATAAGGTTTCTCTGGAACAATTTAAAACAGTAGTTTTAGGTTCTTAATGTTCTTATTTGTTCATGAGGAAATGTGGAAAAAGAAATTAAAGCTCCTAATATGAAAGGCCATATTTCTTCACATGTTCATCACTTAGTAACATTTAAAAATTATTTTATAATAATTTTCTATCTATAGCAAAGTTGAAAAGACAGCACAGAAAGTTCCCATATTCCCTGCACCCAGTTTCCCCATTGTTTCCATCTTACATTGCCGTGATAGATTTTCCAGTACTAAGAAATTGATCTGTTTTGGCATGTCAATTATTAACTAAACTCTAAACCAGTTTTTCCAACCACGGTACCACATTGCATTTAGCTATCGTGTCTCCGCACCTTCTTGTCTTTGACAGTTTTTCAGTCTTTAGTTTTTTTTAATCTTGTCAGGTTTGAGGAGTCCTTGTCCAGGTATCCTGTAAAATGTTCACTAATCTGGGTTTCACTTTTTTCTTGTGATTAAACTGAGGTTCATAGGTTTTTAAAAAAATACACCAGAGGTGAAGTACCCTTTTTGTCACATCTTATGAAGTTGTATGTGACATCTGCATGACATTAATAGTGATGGAACTTAAAGTAGTGTCTGCCACTTTTCTCCTATAGAGTTCCTGTTTTTATTTGTTCCTATTTGTTTGCTTGCTTATTTGGAGATGGAGTCTCATTATGTTGTCCAGGCCGGGCTAGAACTCACAATCCTCCTGCCTCAGCCTCCTGAGTGGTGGGATTATAGGTATGTTCCAGGAAGCCAGTTATTAAATCTAACCCTCTGGAATGGGAGGAAGGCAGAAATTAAACTCTGTCTCCAATAATGGGTAGTATCTACACATCAAGTTTTGGGGTATTTTCTCTTTAAGAAACATTTATTTCTTCTTAACCCATTGATTTAGGTCAGTATGAACTCATCTATTTCTTTTTATGTAATGGGCTGTAAACTAATTACGTATTTATTTTGTTAGTCCAACTGTTTTACTTTGACTGTTGGGAGCTTTCCTTGCTCAGTTTCTGTGCCTGTCCCCTTGATGTATCCCCGTCCTTTTTGTTTGGGAGCGCTTCATTACTTTCTGTTACTACAGGAAACTCCAGGCTCATTTTATATTGTCTTGTGCCTAGAATCAGCCATTTCTCCAAGACACCATGATTCCTTTTACTGAAAAATGACATTTACAAATATCTGGGTGCTGAGTATGTCATTACTTCTAGGACCTCTCAGAGGGCAGAACAGATGATACATTCATGTGTACTAATGAGTGTGTCTGTGTGTGTGTGTGTGTGTGTGTGTGTGTGTGCGTGTATGTTGAAACATGTTTCATAATGGTGTCTTCAGCTCTAACTCAGTACTACAAGGTTCATTTTACCTTTCTTTTTGTTTATCTTTAACTTGCCTTTCCAACAGTGAGAATTTTGATTCCTGCCATTCACTGTTCATTTACTTATTTGTTCAGCCTCATACTTGTGAAGTATTTTCATAATTGTTTATCTATATCCCTCTGATAAACAAATTTACCAGCAAGTGTATAATGTTTTTATTTCTTTTGTCTATACCTCTATAATTTGCATTTAAAATATCGTTTTCCATGAGGAGTGCTGATGGTGGAAGTGAGCCAGCAATGGCGGGTGGGGGAGATTTGTGGCTTCTAGCAGGAGATGGTGTTGGAGGCAAGAGATTGCTTAACCCATGTCATTTCTGTCCCAGTAACTGGATGGAGAGGGAGGACACAAAAGTTGCTTTATAGGGCTGCTATCTTTCCCGTACATGTCATTCTGAGGAGCACAGCCCAGACTCTCTTGTGACCCTTTTGGCTCCCTTATTTCATAACTTTTTGGCAGCGGCAGCCACCAACACAGCATTTTACGTCCTCTGACTCATTCCCTGTAACTCTCCCCCAAAGGGCGCGATCTACACGTCACCCCTGCTTGTCAGTCTGCCTGCTATGCCATGTCAGGGCAGGCTCAGATGCCTGCAGTGCTGGACCAGTTGATGGGCACTTCCTGAATCTGGGATACTACACACCAGCCACTCAAATTCAGTGATGAGAGTAGACAAGACTCGACTTAACTGTTGTCCCCATTTTGTCCTTTCTGTAACTAGAAGGGATCTTGTAGAATGTCAGAAAGTCCATGACCTAGCTTTAAGCAGATTATGAAATTGCATTCAAAGAGGAGAATTTTTTCTTTGAACTTGTTACCATGGGTCATCTGCAGTTACTGCATACTGTGATTTGAAGGGAAGAAGTGGCAAAGAAAAGATTAGCAGAAACTCAAGAAGAGATTAGTGCTGAAGTGATAGCAAAGGCAGAACATGTTCATGAGTTAAATGAAGGTAGAAAATTGTTAGTCAAGGACTAGTGGCCAAAGGAATGTGAAGAATCTCAGAAAGTAATTGATGAAATAGAGAAAGCACAGGCAAAGAAAAGAGAAACAGGAAGTTTGTTAGAATCCTCAGGCAGCTCCCTTCCAGCTTATGGCAGCAGAAACCTTGAGTCTGGGTAGTTTCCTCTGCCTATTTAGGCCTTCATGGTAACGACAGGCTCCTGGCTGATCATTTTGGGAGCAAACTGTATGTAGGGTTTATTGAAATAAGAGAGAGGCTTGAAGAATTAAAGAGAGTTGAGCTTAGAAGCAGGAGAAAAGAAACCAGAGATGTCTGAAATGAAGAGGAGAAAGGGAGAGAAAAGAATGGGAAAAATTGAGGGGGGTCTCAGTTACATAACAAGAATCCCAAAAGATCCAGGCCAGAGAGCATTGCAGACACCAGTGTCACTCCATGTCAGGAGACCTCTAGTCAAGTCTCAGGAGAAATGGTATTGCTATCGGTCTGCCTTTGGCGGCCATAGTTGTAGCCACAGCCACCAGAGTCAGCAGTTCCAGAGATAGGAGGAGGGGGCGATCCAAGGGGGGAATCCTCCAAAGAAAGATTCAGAGACCAAGATTTAGCATCACCTGACAGAGACAGGAGTTCAAGAGACCGAGATTTAAAAAAAAGTGTACAAAGTCTTAATGAGAGTGCTAATTGAAGATCAGAAGACAGGAAGAGCTCTGAAAAGTGTGACGCATGGGAGATCTAATTAGCTGAGTACCTGTTTTCAATCCTTAAGCTTTCTATGGAATTACATGCTGTTGTTTACAGCTGTTCAGGGTGACAGCACTTACAGACACACATCAGCCAGGCTAGATCTATAATGTCTTAACTTGATCTGAACTGAAACTGTTTTCTTTGATGAAGCCTACACTATCCATAGTTTCTGGTGAATCTGTAGGACCTAGTTCTGAAACCATAGGTTTGTTGTTATTGTTGTCTTGCGGTTATTGGGTTTTCGGCTCAGGGCCTCAAGTTTGTCAGGCACTCTGACACTTGAGCCACGCCTCCAGCCCATATTTTACTTTAGATACTTTTCAGATAGGTTCTCCTGCTTTTACCTGGTACCAGCTTCAGACCACAATCCTTCTCTGTATGCCTGCCACATAGCTTAGACCACAGGTGTGCACCACTATGCAGGGCTCATTTGTTAACATCAGGTCTTGCTAACTTTTTGCTGGGGCTGGCCTAGAGCCATGTAAGACACTGATCTCTTTATTCTCTCAAGTAGGAGTGATTGTGAATGAATTATGTTAACTGCCTTGGGATTTTTTTTTGTACAGTTGTAAAATTCTGGTTTCCTTTCTACTCTGAAGAACAGCAGCTTTGTGAATTTTTTTTTAATTCTTTTTCCTCTGATTTTTGTATTCCCTAATACCTGTACACCCCAACTGTAAGTGCGGGTGGGGTGGAGGGCAGGAGAGCAATTTAACTTTTCTAAGGTTCAATTCCCATTATTAATTGCTAGTTGATTATATTGGAATGTGGGCTGGAGAAACTTAAACATGTTTGATGTTTTGCATTGCCTGCTTTTGCTTTATTGAAATTTTGAAATCAGACTTGTCTTGATTTTTCTATTCTATTCAATCACCATGTTCAGGATGTTCTGAGGGAGGTGGAGGCAGGGACTCTCATAATTGACACTTGTTTTATTTTGCGTGTGTGGATAACAGTTCATCCTTGTTTTAAAAAATAGTAAAATGAAAGAAACAATCAAAAATTATTTCCTACATTATCTAGGTTAGTACCTCTGTTGTTTGCATGTATTAGAGTTTATTTTTTGTAATGTAGAGTTCAGTGGGTATTGACAAATTATTAGAGATAGCTATTTGTAATTTTATTAACTGTAGTTTTTTGTTGTTCACATAAAACAACTAGTTGAAATTGCTTACTGAGTCCTTCTAAGCACTTTTCACTCATTGTGGTAACCTGAGTATTAATGTACATTTTCCTCCATATAATCTAAATGGCATTTCTTTTTTGGCGGAGGGAAACAATACTGGGGATTGAACTCATGCCTCTCACTTGAACCATGCCTCACAGTCCTTTTCTAAACCCTTCCTTCCTCCCTCCCTCTTTCTCCTCCTCCTCCCCAATTCCTTTACTCTGATTTGATACAAAATTGGTGATGGGGAAGAATCATAAATAACAGCTAAGTATCTGAAGACCCTGGTTTGGGTCTAATGTAGATGAAAAGTTTGAATTGAAGTTCAGAATTGAAGCAAAACTTTAGAACCAAACAAGCAGTTTGTGATGTCAGGCTCTTCAGGATGGAGTCAGGTCATAAACCTGGAAAGAGATAGCATTAGGCTATCTAGTTAGAACCTGGAAAATTAAACACATTGATGGAAACTGGAGTTGACCAGTATTGTTACATAGTAGTATACATTCTGAGCTCAGCTTCTTTGGTTATCTGTTGCTGCATAACATTCCAAACCCTAGTGATGCAAAGTGACAGCAATCATTTTGTTATCTTTCCTGGTTTCAGTGGCTCTGAGATTTGGGACAGTTCCAAACAATTTAATTACTTTCTCCCTAATCTTTTTGATTTTTTGTTATTTTTTTCAAATTTTAATTTGTCTTTTTATTTTCTTGCTATTAAGTTTCTACATAGCGGCTTAAATGGAAACTTGATAGAATTACCATTTTAGTGTAGTATTTATAAATGTGCATTGTACCTTATGTCTTAAGTTACTTTTCTCATTGCTGTGACCAAGTACCTTACAGAAACAACTTAAAGAAGGAAGGATTTATTTTGGATCTCAGTTTCAGAGGGTTTAGTCCATGGTCACTTGGCTCCATGCTTCTGGGCCTGTGGTGCAGCAGAGCATCGTGGCAGATGAAGTGTGTGTCTGGGGAGCTGCTGCTTCTCAAAGGCATGAAGAGTTTGTTACTTTTTTAAATTCACCAACAGGTGGCAATGTAACGTGTTAAAATCTTATATTTAACTATAATACTGTGTAACTGTATCTTTATTTGGCCTATCCCTTGACATACCAGTTATTGTGAATACGTATTTTCCTACTTAATGTTCTTCAGTTGATACAGTAGACTCTTCTGATTCACATTGGTGTTTTTGGAAGGATGGTCTAAGTTTTCTAACTTCAGAGAACATAATGTGTGCATGCCCATGTGTACATAATATTCAAAGCACTGTCAGATTTAAGTAATAAGAACTGCTTATATAATTTTGTAAAATAATGATAGGTTTCCATAGTGCAATGAACCATCTTAAGTTAATAGGTTCTTTCATTCAAACTTGAATTTTGAACAGAATAAATTTTATTTTCTTCCCTCCTCTTCTCTTCTCCCCTTGACTCCTGCTTTTCTTTCCAGGGCCTTGTACTTGCTAGGGAAGCTATGTGCTTTTATACCCAGCCCTGACAAAGTTTTCTTAAAGCTTCTTCTAAATCCTTTTCTGTTCTTTTCTCCAGAACCTCTTGGCTGCCATTCTCCCTGTACTTACTGTAAAATTTTTTTTAAGCATTTTAAGTTTGAAACAAAGTTTCACTCTTTTCCTCAGGCTGGCCTCAAACTCCTAGCCCCAAGTAATCCTTCTGTCTAAGGGCGTATCTTCCACACTGGCTTAAGCATTATAATTCTTTATTTAAAAATTTTAATGTTAGAAAATTCATAAATAAAATGTGAATTACAAAATTTAGCTTTGTTGTTTGGTCTCTCAGGTAGCCTTACTAAGGATAAGGCTTTATCTCCCTCTGCTAACAAACAGTTCTTTTAAGTTAAGGAAAATTTAAAAAGTGATACATATTCTTAAAAAAGAAACAGAAGAAAAAGGAAAAGTAAATACTTCCTTTGTTCCTCCTTATCTGATCCCTATTGGTTCATGTATATTCTTACAGAATTTTTTTTGTGCTTTTACAGGGTGCATTTCATATTGCAATATTTTGGGGTCCTCAAAACTGCCCCCTCCCCTTCAGTAATTCACTAGAAAGCCTCAACTCAGAAAAAGCCTTTATACTCATGGTATGTTTTATTATAGTGTAAGAATGCAAATTAAAATCAGCAACAGGAAAAGGCACATAGGGCAGGGCCCAGGAGAGTTTCTGGTGTGATATTGCAGTAGTCATTCAGAGAGAGCAGTGATGTATGATGATATGCATGAAGTATTGCTAACCAGAGTAGCTCAGTTTGGGCTTGGTTATATAGACATGGATGACCACCCATGTGATTGATCTTAATCTCCAGTTCCTGCAGAGGTCTAAAAGCCCCCCTACCATAAATCATGTTATTAGCCCAGACTATCTGGATGTTTCAAAGCCTCCAGGTAAATAAAATACCTTATGAGGAGGACATTGAAAGCAGACCTTTCCTTGGGCAGGACTACTCAGACATGTATGTATACACAGATAAAATAAGGCCTATACTATAGATCACTTGAGACTTATGATGGGGATGGGAGAGTTTGTGTGGGTTTACCTTAAGTTTTTTTTTTTATCGTTGTGTGAATGTGATATGCATTCAGTAGAAACTGCACTTAAAATTTTAGAATTGTGATATTTTTTCTGGGCTGGTGATCTATTTAATAATATATTTGGCATATCATTCAAGGTTTGTACCCATAAATATACACCATTTGTTTCAACTCTAAAACTCCTTCCATTATACTATGGTTAAACTTCCTTTGGTAGATCCACTTTCACAAGCTTTTAGGTTGTTTCTTGTTTACCCCCATAACAAACAATGATGCAGAAAACATTTCTTTTTATGTATCTTTGGGTGCTTTTGAAAGGAATAAATTCCTAGAAAAGTACTGCAAAAAAACCAAAACAAAAAAGTACCCATTTCATCACACCCTCAAAGACTGAATATTCCCTAGCAGAAATCATTTAAATCACTGCGTAAAAGGTAAGTTTTCCTTGTAGAAAACTTTTATCCTAACAATAACTAGTCTTTTAATACAAAGCCAGTATTTAGTTTTATAAAATATATTTGTAATTTAACTTTTTTTTTCTGTTTGGGTGGCCCCATCTGCATACCGAATAAAAGTTATATTATTTGAAGAAGTTATTTTTGAAAGCCATGTAGAAAGTGAATTTAATGTGTAACAAATGGAGGGTAGTTTGACACCTGCTGCTGTTGTATGTAAGTAATATGTGTATATTAACCAGCAAGTAAATTGCATATGCAGGATACTTTACCAGACAATGTATCTTATTTAAAAAAATAAGCCTGTAGGATTTCTTGAGTGTCACTCTGAGCTGTGAGGCACAAGTTTAGTTTTAGTTTGTTAGTTAATTTTTTTCCCCTAGTAATGAGTGCTGGTTATTTGGAATAAGTTAAGTGGGAAATAATTGCATGGTCTCTTATGATAGATTATATTATTTCTTACACCGTAGGTTTTGAAATTTATCTTTTCACATGTATGTAAATTGCTGTTAGTCTTTGCCAATAATTTGAACTAGATCTGCTAATGCGAAACTATTATGTTACAATAAGTCTAAAAGTCACAATAAATAATACAAAATAAGTATTCTAAAATATTTTAATTCTAAAAGATGTTTGATTTATCATTTACTCCCGATTTGTTGGGGAAATCTTTTTCTCCTCAATATCTTTGTTCTGTTTCTTTTTATTTTCTCAGATGCTAGATATTTTTTATCAGCATAAATTAATTGTACAAAGGGGTTTCATTGTGCTATTCACATACATGCATGTAATGTACTTTGATCAAATTTGCCTTGTGTATTACTCTTTGAAATCCTCAACATTTTTTTCTTGCCTAGTTTTGTATACTCAGAGGACTTCAAGTAAAATTTGTGGAAGTTATTTAATACTCTACTATTGGGATATAATTGATACTAATTGGTGCCACATTAACCATATACGGTGGCAGATAACATGGTTATATTTATAATGATGTTTTATCTTTTTATAACACCAGCGCTATAAAAGGATTAACTTTATTCATTTAAAATGATCACATTTCCAATTTTATTTTAATTAAGTGTTGTTTTGTATACATTTTTATAGGCCCTGACTTTGTTGTGTGTGATGAAGGCCATATTCTTAAAAATGAAGCGTCTGCTGTTTCAAAAGCTATGAATTCTATACGATCAAGGAGGAGAATTATTTTAACAGGAACACCACTTCAAAATAACCTAATTGAGTGTGAGTTAATATATACAATTATGCTGTAGAATATTGGTATGGTCTTGGATACATTTTTGCAACTTTTGCCATTTGCCTTTCATCTCTTTGGTATAGTCCCTGACCATGATCTATATAGTCCCATCTTAATCTACTGTGAAAGAATGCCACACTTTCAAGTGAAATACTTTATAAATGTAAGTGATAAACCATAGTTAAGAGATACGCCATTGTGAATGTTCAGATATAAATAAGGAAATACATTTTAAAAGTATCAGAAGTCTTTTGATTTCTTTAATTGTACAAATGCCTATAGAGTTAGTTAGGAGATATTATAAGGGCATGTATCCAATTTAGGGGCAGATACTAATTGAGAAATTTTTTTAAGTGATGAACATGAACATTTCAGGAAAGTGGGGGTGGGAGAAGGACAACTGTGCTGCATCTATGACAGAATGGTCAATGACAGATGAAATAAACCCTGAGAAGTAACTTGTGAATTTCCCCATTTTCATATGTGTGTGGTGATCCTAAAGAAGAAAGATGAGATTATTCAGCACAACAAATTAAAGATTTCTTATCATAGCCTCCTACTTTTTTCTTTTTCCCATTGAAATTTCCCTCTTTCTATCCATTTATAGAAATACTGATTCACATTGTGACACCAATTAGTATAGGACAGTTGATAGCACTCTTAAGGGGTTCTAGAAATGAATCAGTTAATATTCATTTCCCTCTTTTCTATCCATTTATAGAAATACTGATCCACATTGTGACACCAATTAGTATAGGACAGTTGATAGCACTCTTAAGGGGTTCTAGAAATGAATCAGCTAATATAAATGTTGGTATAGTAGCTTATTATCTACTACACTTATTTTCACTTAGTATCTACGTTTTCTTCATAAAAATGCCTTCACTGACCATAAAAATCATGGTTAGCGTTATAGACAGCTTGCTTTATAAATCATATGTCTTAAATAGTGATTCGATTTAAAATAAAATGTCCTGAAGTCATTTTTTTATATTCAGGTTTAAGGATGATTTTATTTCAGTTTCTCATCTGGCTTAAGTAATCCAGTTCTAGATCAGACTTACAACCAATGTTTATTCTACACTTAATTTGATATTCTGGATTTTTTTCTTTGTATATAGCTCAGTTCTAAAGCTTCCATGGAAGGTACTTTTGATGTGAACAATTCACTGGGGGAATTTTTCTGAGTCTTAAACTATCATTAATGTTGCTAATGAATTAATGTCTTCTTTCTTAGATCATTGCATGGTTAACTTTATCAAGGAAAATTTGCTTGGATCTATTAAGGAGTTCAGGAATAGATTTATAAATCCAATCCAAAATGGTCAGTGTGCAGATTCTACCATGGTAGATGTCAGAGTGATGAAAAAACGTGCTCATATTCTCTATGAGATGTTAGCTGGATGTGTGCAGGTACAGATATATTCCGTCATAATAAAGTACTGTTATTTGTATTACATTACCAGAATATTTTCTGAGTTTAAATTTTATGTGTTACATCTCTTTGCATTGTCTTCAAAAATACATGCTGCATTTATTTTTTTTTAAAGTTTCAGTGAGAAGTTTAGAGAACAGTCTTTATTTGCTAAGTGTGAAGCCTTATATTTTACTATGTTAATGTTAGGATTCTTTGTTCTTAAAACAAGGAGTTCTAAAGAGCAGTACATCTATTATGATTAAGAAATTTCTGTGCTGGGGGACATTCTCAAGTGGCAGAGCACTTTCCTAGCATGTTTGGGGCCCTGGTTTCAATCCCTAGTATTGCAAAAAAAAAGAAAAAAGAAAAAAATCCTGCAATCACCCTGGTTCTATATATAGTATTCTAAAACTCGCTATTACAGTTGTAGGAGAGGCCAGTATAAATTAAGATAACTGTCTTAAAAGTAATCCTTAAGAAGCAATTTTAATATTTTGAAGTATATACATAATCTGAGCATGGTAGTCTATATGTATAATCCTAGTACTTGGGAGGTTGAGGGGGGAAATTCGAGAGTTCCAGGCCAGCTTGGGCTACATGTCAAGACCCATCTCAAAACAAAAACAAAATAATAATATACAATAACAAAAACAGGCTAATACTGTTGTTTACATACAGACTTTTGATGACTCTACATTAATGAATAGGTAAATATATAGACTGAGCCATTAATCAATAAATCTCAAGATACACACTTTCTGTTCAGACACTAGACACTAGCTACAAAGATGTTTCAGAATGAGACAAGCTGTCCTTTTGGATGGCTCCACTATCATATATGTGGCAAAGTCATCCTAGTTACTACATGAACTAGTAAGTACTGTTTCTGTATTTAACTGCTATTACCCAGGCAGCATTTTTCTACTTTTAAGTATTTTTTTTTGTTAGAGCATTGTGTTCTTCTCTGTCTTTCTGTCCTTATAATAAAACAGTTTTAAAAGTGCTTGTATGTAGCTTGTTTTCTCAGGTTGGAAAACATTTCTTCGGAAGTTATTATAGTGTTTGGCATTGCCACATCTTATCCAGAGGACTACTGGGACTGCATTAGACTTTTTTTTTGTTATTTTTGTTTTTTTGAGACAGGGTCTCTATATAGCCCAGGTTGTCCCAGAACTCTTAATCCTCCTGCTTTAGCCTTCAAAGTGCAAAGGTTACAAGCACACCAAGCTGTACCACCACACCAAACTGTATTAGAGTTTTCATTCATAGCTCTTACTATATGATTTAAACAAGTCAGTTTTGCTAGTGTTACCTATTATATCCCCTCCCCATCTTTTCTTGCTTTCTTTTTTCTAAATGGAGAATACCGTCTTGAAAACTTGAATCACTGCAAGTGGTCATATAACCCCTTTAATTTAAAGTCTGGCTGCTATGTTGGTGTATCTTTTTACCAGTGCACAGTATTATGCAATCATATGAAATATATTAAGCTGAGCTGATGATGTATGTCTGTAATCTTAGCTATCAGGAGGCAGAGGCAAAAGGATTTCAAGTTTGAGAGCAGCCTGGGCTATAACTCGAGACCATGCTTCAAAAACAACAACACTAACAACAAACTAAAATTCATTAAGTATTATCGTACGTGGTTGATTGTGTGGTTTGAGAGAGTAATTATATTTAAGAAAATGGTGACTGTATTTTTTGAAGTAATGAGAATTCTCAAAGCAATTTATTACTGTTATATATAGGTAGATTAACTAATTTTCATTGTTTTTTCTTGTTAATCACAGAGGAAAGATTATACAGCATTAACAAAGTTCTTGCCTCCGAAACATGAGTATGTTTTGGCTGTGCGAATGACTGCTATTCAGTGCAAGCTCTATCAATACTACTTAGATCACTTAACAGGTAACTAATATACTTAACCACTTTCATTTTCTCTATGAGGTTTTTTTTGTGTGTGTGTGAAGAATGCTTCTTGGTAATTTTGCTATGTCAGTTCTTTTTTACTTTCACATCTGAATAAAATGAGTATGTTAATTTCAAAAGCACTGATTGTCAAAATAAAGTTAAACTCAAGGAACAAACAGGCAAAACAACATGAACACACAGTAGAAAGAGCCCTGACTTAATGTGCATGGGCCCCTGGATGTGATCTCCAGCACCACAAAAAAAAATCCATAAGAACGCCCTCCCCTGCAAACCATGGCTATCATATGTGAATAATACCTTTAATTTGTAAAAAACTACTTCAGAAGAACTATGAATGTGAAATCCACAATAAAAGATATATAAAATTTCAGAGAATTTTAAAAAACATTCAGTTGCATTATTATTAAAAGGTATATCAATTAAATTTACGAAATCGTTTCTTAGTTATAAATTAATAAAGATTGAATGTAAAATACAAGGCAGGGCATGTAATCTGTTCTGCATATTATGATAAAAACACATGCTAAAAATAACACCAAAATGTTAACAGGTTATTTTTCTGGGTGGTTTCATTATGAAG